AAATCAGAAGATCAAAATTATTTTAAAATCATTGTTATTAGAATTCATCAATCAATTTCAATCTCATTGCAATTATTCGCGTTGTAAATAATATATGTATATTTATGCTACTGCATAAATACATAAATAAATGGAAATAAGGTAAATAATAAAAAAAATACAATGCAAACATTTATTCAAATGAATTAAGTACATAAAATATTGTTTATATTATAAGTAGATATATATCTCAATTATATAGAATACATACGTCATATCACTGTGACTAGCTAGATTTTCTTTTTTTTCTTTTAAATTAAAGGATTTTCACCAAATTAAAAAAACAACGTACAAACCATTGACAAAAATAACGACTATAAATTCATGTGTTTTAATGGTTTTATTTATGTTGTCTTGTGTGGATCAAATCTAAATTAATAATCAAAATTGAAATTTTCCCCCCTAGATTTTATTTTAATCTGTTTAATGCTCTAGATTGATGAGGAGTGTTGTGATGACTGGTACCTATTTAATTATTTTTTAGGTTTTAGTACTTTATCTGCATCATTATTACATTTCTTTATGATAAAATCCTTTAAAAAATTTTATACCCAATCTATATTTATATGTTGAATTTATAATTATAAGCCTTAATCATGAATATCATATAATAATAGAATTTATTTCAAAATAAGCACATAATTATAGGGCAATTTTCGAATAGGAAAAAATTTACAAAATCTTATCAATTTAAAATCAATTATGATTTAAAATAACCATACATTTTAAAGATCGGTAAGCAAAAAATGTCATGTAGTATCATAAAAATTGTATGAGCGATGTAGTACAAAATATTTTCATCCATACACTTTTCACCTATTGGATTATAAAATATAGTGCTTATTAGTCTATCCTATAGTAATTGCCTATAAAGGGGCTTGAACATTTTTATTATATAAACTGACATTAGCCCTAGCCACCATGCTTTTTTAAAGTGATGGCACACATTAAAACTTATAAAAACACTATGACAAAAATAATAGCAATATAGTGCCCTAGGTGTTACGTTTTGTCACGCTTTAGGGCACCATATTGCTAATACTTTTATTTAATTAAGTTTTTCTGTTCATATATACAAGTTTTATCATGAACTATAAGTTTAAAAAAATGGCGGACGTTTGGCAATTTCATAAAGGTTCTATCCCCTTCATCCTTTCCTTAGCATTTCATGTTTTTATCATTTACCTATTCATAAATAGGAGCTTGGAATGAATTTGTTTTACATATAAAATTATATCATAGATAGATAAATACTTTATTGCACACATAAATGAAAGATACAGAAGATGAAAGGAAAAAGAAAGAAAATCTTATTGCTATAAGCAATGAGGCCGCTTTTAGCGTATTATATATTTTGCTTATATTCTCATACATTGAATATTTCAGCTCTTTATAAAATCATAAGGAATAATAGTGTTTTTTAGAGATTTATAAAATCCCCAACGCATTTTATATTTTAGTCTGTAAAATTTATAGTATTATATGATATTAAGTGTGGTGAAAACGGTTGCAACGTATGAAATGTCTACTTAAATTGCCTACTTACTAACTGGCATATTTTGTTAGACATTTCATGTAACTCGATAACTGAAACAGCGAACATACTTGAAGTACGCATTACAAACTAAAATCGCGGTTTCAGTTCTCGATAGTTCTTATAAATAGCACTACAGCAATTCTTTTCTACATCATTTTTTATTGATGTATGCATCAAGTATATAAAGCATTAGCTTATTTATATTTAATAAACTATCTAATTTTAACAGTTTAAATCATCGATCAAAATAGTACTAGATACAATAATCCCTTATTACATCCTTCTCTTAAAACTGTCACCAATTGTGTTTAGGTAATTATTAAGTAAATATACAACAATGTAAATTGAACCTTAAATGCAATTTTTAAAGTTGTTTTCACGAAAAATTTTTTAAAGCGCGCTCAAATGTTTAAATAAGCGCGCATTCGGTGAGGACAATTTTTGGCGCTGATTGTGTATCTAGGACTATTTTGATCGATGGATTAAATAAATTTACTTTAAGTAAAATTCATAAACAATAGGTACAATAAATACGATTTAATCTTCAAAATTATACAAAATATCTTCATGAATACTTTATAAATTTCATTGCGACGGATATTATAAGTTTAAAATGTTAATTGGCTTTGCCTTAGTGAGAAAAATAAGGCATGAATTATATCAATCTGATGATTCCTATTATTCTATTGTTAGTATAAGTTTTTCCATTCTACGTGACATTGGCTATGTAATCTGTGCTCAACTGGCACTCTTTGAAGCCATTAACAGGAAAATTGAATAAAACTATCTATTCAGTTTTTTTCGCGGATTTATTTGGATTTTTGGTTTCCGACGTTTCGAATGCTTTACAACAATCATAGTCACGGGAGAGACTCTCCCGTAAGATAATATTATTTAAAATGTGAAATATTCACGTAAATCTAAAAAAGTATTATAGGAAAATTGAATTGAAAATGTAAGTTATACGTGTTGGATGCTCGCATAACTTTCTTTCTGAACTATAGGGAGTTCTAACTATAGAGAGAAGACTTTGGCAAAAGCTTAAATAAAGTCCTTAAATAAAAGTTCAAGTGGATATAATGAGTTTTATGTAACGAAGCTGGAATCAAGTTTCAAGCGAGCTTAGTGTCTGTAATAGACAGTAGTGGTAGCGGATGTACAAAATATAATATATAGTCTATCCATGTAATGAACATATATAATATAAGATATAGTCTACCATACAAAATATAAGATAGGTATAGTATATCCATATAATGAACAGGTTACCATCCAATCGAAAAACTTTAGTATACCCGAGACCATCTCTTATAGCCGTGTCGAAATTAAAAGTAAGTAAAAAACATGGTGAATTTTCTTATGATGTCAAACGGGGTTGATATCATAAGAAAACAGTCAGTGATTTTTTTTATTATGTCCGTTGTAGACCATTAACATAATTTTGTAAATACGAACTGCTTTGTCAAAACATCGCTATCTGGTATAGCAGAATTATTCCATTAAGAAATAAAATTAAACTTTAGTTAAGTAGACTTATACAATTAATTCTAAATTGTCAATTTAATTTAAAGAGCGCCAGTGGAGTCAGTCCGTGAGGAAGCTACCACCGGCTCGAAAAGCAGTTCTGTAGAGTACGTGAAACGCAGTGTAAGAAGCATTACTACAAGTTCTGCTGAGAAGAGCCGACGAGAAACTCAACAGTTGCTCTTTTAAATATCATCGAGGTATCAACGAGTTATTACCATTATTATGTATATATTTTTTTTATTTGTACAGAATATATACTTTTGTTTGTTTTCGTCTTGAACTTGACTCGTTGGTCCATTCACACATAGTTTATTAGTCAAAAATAATATAAATATTATACAATCTCTTATAATACCACAATCACAGTCCCTGAAATGAAACAAGAGACAGCATGGGCTTTTTATGAAAATGTTTAGAAGATTTGAAATTAATTTTATACTAGAAAGTTGTACGTTATTCAAATAGACTTAAAATAAGGAGTTTTATTCCAAGCCTTTAACTGAAAAATGTTGATATATAATATCTATATGGACTTTTAAAATAAAATATTTAATAATAATATTTTGGGACATTAACACACAGCACCATCTGGCTCCATGGTAAGCTACGAGGCTCGTGTTATGGGTACCAGATAGTTGATACACTACATATATATACATTTTAAATAAATACACATTATAAATATAAACACCCATGACAAATATTCGTGCTCATCACACACATGAATGCCGCCAGCGGGATTCGAACCCGCGACCGCTGGCACAGCAAGTAGGGTCACTGCAAACTGAGCCAAATGTGTCGTCGTGACTATTGTTCACCCAGATATAGGTCGAAATTGGACCATAATCATTTTCTATTGATAACACAAAAGCTCGTCAATAGCTAATAAACAAAAAAAATCGGTTGAGAAAAAGATTCTAAACTGTTTTTGCCTATTTTTATATGGACACCTTTAGGGGTAAAAACATATTAATAATTAAAAGTAATGAAAATAATTTTAAGTACCTATAATTTTAAACTACATACATAAACTAGAAAGTAGTATGTATTTGTGAAAATAGCCATATAATATATAATATGTATATAACCTTAGTTTATTTCATTGCTATTTCTTGTTTCATTTTCTATACATCTTAATGAAAATAATTTCAAATATTAAATATATTATACTTATTAAATATATTGTAATATATTGGAATTATAATATATTAGGAAAATACAGATACATACATATGTTAGATAACAAACGGATTAAGACAACATGATAATCTACAATCGCATACGTATAGAAAATTAAAAAAAATATATTGAAATGACAAATTAAAGCACTATGTGGTCGTATATTTTTTTTAGATATCTATTCGAAAACGATTGTAGAAAACCACCTTGTCTAACTCCTAGTTACAATTTGGTAATTTTTTCCAATCTGCTTCTGTTCATGACTATCACCTTCATTCCTAATATCAATGTCTGTATCTACCACACTCTAAACACTTACAAATTCAACTATCCTTTAAGGAAATTCTTCAAAAATATCTCAAAACCCTGAGCATAAAATTCACCATTTTCTAATTTGAAATATTAATTTTATTTATAATAACATAGTAAATATTAATTAAGCGACACTTCAACTTGCCGTTACATAAGCAGAAGAAGGCATTTAATATCATATTGTTTAAATCCCTTTCAAGTACTAAAAAGTATTTGGAAAAGATACTTTAACCATTTTAACGACAAACTCCCATCAAATATATCAGATCAGTATCTGTCATTTGCTTTTGACTCAGCATCGACAAAAATCTTTTTACCCATTTTTCTTGAAACTATCAAAAATCCTTAATAGAATTCTCAAAAGATTCTTCAGGTTCTAATCTCGATTTGTAGGTGTGAGAATTTATAGTAAGGCATCCCGAAGGCGAGTACGGCAAAATAGTAGGAATGCTAGCAGAGCAGCGATTGCCGCACCGGCAAGTATCGTTTCTTCTCTACGTGTGCCGCCCGCGCGGTCTACGACTGCACTCTGGAATTATATTTTTATGATATTTAATTTATATGAAACTTATAACTAAGAAGGCACGCCTACTTTAAAATCACAATAAATATCGTTTTTTTTTATACCACGTCGGTGGCAATCAGGCATGCGGCCCGCCTGATGGTGAGCGGTTACCGCAGCCTATGGACGTCTGCAACCCTAGGGGCATCACATGCGCGTTGCCAACCCTTTAAGAACCTATTTACTCCCCTTTTAAAGGACCCCATACTGTAGCCCTCTGGGAAAACCTCGGCAGGGAGTTCATTCCACAGCGAAATGGTCCGTCGTTCTATCCTTAGGGTCAAAAAAATAATCATTGAATTCGACTCACTTGTTTTAAATATCTTGTAGCATGCCAAAACATTTGAAGTCATCTACTATATTGTACAAAACCGTGTTCGTTTCTAAATGCTTATATAAAAAATATTATTAAAATTACATTTTTTTTAAATATTCTAGCAAGACTTATATACTATAATGTATTTTCCTATATTTGGTGACTGATTTAATTTCCATAATTGAAGAAATGAAAATAAACATAGAATTGTTATCTAAAAAAGTATAAATAAGGAAAGTGACGAAAAAAAATTGCATTTTCAAAGTGGAAATATTTTCGTAAACCCACTTTGGGTCTCTTTATCTATATATTTGAATTGTATTGTATATGTATGTATACAGCCCTTTTTAACGTCCCACTGCTGGGCACGGGCCTCAACAGATATTTGAATATTAAGTAATTATTATAATGAATAAGTTATATGACAAGTTTGTGGGCCTACATAGCGGTGGAAGTGATTATAAAGCCCATTTTTTATCTGACTACCCCACGAGGGACACAGCGTTAAACGGTGGAACTAAGGAAGCTTTCGCTTAAGTACCCACTAACTAAGTACTAAACTTTACAAAAGATAGTAAAATATAGGTAAACGTACCCATCCACCATGCCGTATAGCCCAGGGTGTAGCGCACTGTGCGACATGGCGTGCCGCCCAATCCGCCGCCCTGCACCAGCCGCCCACCCTAACAGCTCGACCAACCACTTCACATAAAAACGCTAGCACAAGCAACGCTCGCTGTTCTATGTGAACACAAGCCTAGAAGGAAAAGTTTTTACTATATTAAAATCGGACTACTATTATAAATGCGAAAGTTTATGTGTTTGCGTGTGCGTGTGTGTATGTGTGTGAGAGTTCTATTGCTCTTTCACGCTGAAACAGCGAGACGGATCTAAATGAATTTTAGAAGACAGACTAAACTTTGACCTGGACATTGTGACACATATTCTACTGTTAGGCATCTAAGTCATATATCATCTAGTTTATCATTCAAACGAAACGAGGGTAAGCCGCTAGTATTATAAAAACGTAAGTTTGTGAGTGAGTGTAGTACCTACTTCTAGGTCCAAAACGCTCCGCGGATTTAAGTGAAATTCATAAGAACATAACTCATATTCCTTTTTATCGTCGGGAAATGCATAACCACCTGCATACATATATGTGGTTATGTGGGACTTATCAGCAAAGCCAGTACTACCCACTAAAACCCAACGGAACGTCCCCCATCTTAACGGGGCATCGCAGGAGCGCTTTCGCTAACCTAACCTAACCACGACGCCCCGACGCGTCGGCAGGTCTACCGAAGTAGATTACAACAACCATGGGGTTGCTCCAACCAAAACTAATAACTAACATATTTTAAGAAGTTGATTTCTTAAAGAAAAAATATTTATAAAGAGTTTGAAATTCATATACCTGACATATCTCCTGCATAATATCTTCAAATTCGACTTCATCCAAACATAACAATGGAATATGTTCCGCCCTGGCTGCGAGCCGAGCTCTCGCTTTTGTATCTCGAAATCTTAAAGCCGCTCTTTCTAGCGCCCTCCAATCTCTCCAGTACATCCACCAACCTCTAAAATAGTATTCTTTATGTTTACACTTTACATACTAAAATATTATTGGCTTGAATAGTACTATGTGAAAATTAAACTTGTGTATAAAATAGTATGTACAGATAAATAGTATGTAAATAAAAAATACAAGATACATTCATTATCATCAATTTTAGAGAACCAAAATGTAAATCTTTAAGTTAATGGTATTTATTTTCATTTTGTGATTTAGTAAATCATTAAAAAGGACTGCGTAAAATCAATTCTAATAGAGATAAATTAAATCTAAATAATGATGTCACAGAGTTAATATTCAAACTGTACAATGATTTCTTAAATATATAGAAAACACAAAATGCTACAAACAAAAAAGTTTTAATGGAGGTAAAAATAAAATACAACTTGAACAGTTGCATTTACTTACTATTTACATACTACATTCTAATGATGATATGAGAGATATATAGATAGATCTAAATGATGATATGAGAAAAATAAATTATAATATTTAATAGCAATAAGGGTTTAGCGTGTACCTTTGGTCAGGATTAGCAGGAACCATCATACAAGGTGGCGGTCGGAGTTCCTCCAGTCTCAAATGCTGGAGTAACATCGCTCTGAAAAGCCTAACCCCCTTCTCTTCTTCTTCACCCTCAAGGTACGGTCCTCTCCAGTGCCCCTGACAATCATCACGGCGTTCTTCATCTAAAGACACTTGACGACGTAGGGGTGCTCGGGGTGTGTTATATTCTTCTAATGATTGGACACTTCGAGCTGGAATAAGTAAAAATATGTTAAAACGCAAAAAATAGCAAATATATTTAAACACGTACTAATTACCTATAATTTCACCTATAATTCACTTATAATTTCTCTTTTTCATCACAAAATAGCAGATTCTAATCAAATTAGAACAACACTATTAAGGCAACTTGAAAACACAATAGCGTGCATGCTTTAACATTCAATTAAATATTTATGTCTCGATCAAAGCAATTAAGCTATTCAATAGCCTATACAAACAATTACATAAACATTGAACTGTTATCTAAACTAAATGATACTTTAGGATATTCTTACATTACCTGCAACGGCTCGAGGTGGCACAAAAGCCATAACTGTTTCGATGATCACTGAAAATAACTTTTTCCCGTGGTTTCAGGGGAAGGAGTGACAGTGCGAGTACTAAACATGAGTGACCTTGCGTACTTCGTGTCAAGTCACGGCCCTGACATAGATTTCTGGGCATGCGCACTGCATAAGGAAAGTTTCAAAGATGATTTTTTTTTTAAATATTACGCACGTTGTTACTGTTGGACTAACTGGATTTGTATATCAATAAAGGACTTTGTTATATTATTAGAAAATTGATATCAAAAATGATTATTAACAGGAAACGGCATTTTTGAGAAATATTAGTATCTGCTCACATTATATTATATGCCCTAGGCGATAATTAAACATCAAATAATTCTTAGACTGTTTTATTCCTATAAAAATGGCTTTGCTTTATGTAGAACTTTACACATTCACTGGAGCCAAGAAGAAACCTTACTTTTCTAATAATAACTAGTAGTTCAATCGGAATCCCGTTTGGGAACAAGATATTGAAAACCTGAAGTTTTATGATTTTAAAAACTTAGAAAAAGTTAAAAACCGAGTTTGTTTGTAAATATCTCGAAAACTTTGAGGTTATTGTACAAAGTGTTATTTATAAAAGTTGTAGATTTTTACTAAACCTACAACTTTTGTAGATAACATTTTTCTATATAAGGTCCAGTAAGACGGAAATTGAAATAAAAACTATTTTTCGACGCTTTGCATCCCCCCATTTCTCGGGGGTAGCTGGACATGTTACGAATTTCTATTCCTTATATACCTGCTAACATTTTAAAATCATAAAACTTCAGGTTTGCAATTATTTTTTTCTCTTAAAAATAAACGGCTTCCGATTGGTCTAGGTAGGTAGTAATATTTCGTGTTAATGTTCATAATCTAGATATTGCATGATAGCAACAACATTTGTTAACTGTAACACGGGTGTGCCCGCGGTCGTTGATTCCTTTGAATAAAACAAAAATATTCTTAATTCACCAAATAAATAAACGAATTTCTGTACTAATTTTAGTTAGAAATAAAGTATGTGTGGATTGATTTCAATTTTATTTACGATCTTTGAGATCTTACAAAAATTATATAGAAAAGCTGTTTCAGATTCGAATGAATACTCTCGAATTTCTAAATCCAGATTAAATTCGGAAGATTGGTCCGAACAACTGTTCTAAAAAAAAAACTAAAAAACTTACTCGGTATATTATGAACATTTAAAAAAATAGCCAAATCGGTCCAACCATTCTCAATGAGCGCTTTCCAGTGAACAACATTTCAGCTTCATTATATAAACTTAAATTCTAATAATATTTATCTCGTTTCTAATATATTTATGTACCCCATTATTTAAAGATAAGCCAACTTCAACCAGCAAATTGTCAAACGTCTGCACGTTAATAACAGGCTCAATTGGTTATCGTAGTGGGCCATTGTGTAACTACTCTACTCGTATCGTACAGGAAGGACCACATTTGTCCGGATTACATTCAGATAACTCAGTCACACTTTATATAGACCGACAACCACTACGCTTACCTATAAGGCAAACGATCTGTGAATTTTAGCAGTGATTTATAATGAAAAATTCAATTAATAGAAGATGAGACAATGACCGTTGACAATAAAGATGATAGTATTAAAAAAGCAGATGCAGAAATAAAAGTATCGTGCTGCAAAAAAATTTCTATTTTCGCCTGTGTTTGTGGTGTATTATCATTACTTTTACATATAAATAGTTATATATATAATAATGTAGATGAAAGATATCATAGAATAGAGACTGATTTTATAAAAATTAATGAATTTCTTGATGTGGAACTCGATAAGAGAATAAGTGCTTATGTATCATCTTTGAGTGACATACTTCCAGTTAGATTAAAAAGAGATGCTATGGTTGTAAGTATTAAGTTCATGGACCTAATTTTAATAATAATAAAAAATAATATTCCAAAGTTAATGAACTATATTCTAAAAGCTTAAAATGTGTATATATTGACCTTACATAATATGTATTAGATATTTCACCATAATTATGTTGGCCATTTATATAAAATTTGTTGCAATATTATAATTACTAAAAAATAAAAATACAAGAATTTGTTATAAAAAACATTCAAAATTAGCAACCAATAAAATTAGCAACGAATAATAATAATATCAAATTGCAATTGATGTTCTAGAATCAATCGCCTGTTCAAGAGGATAACACAGTGGCACCTCATGTCGAGTTTTTTAATCCAAAAATGCGAGCTGAACTTGAAGAGAAAGATGCGATTGAGATGAAACGCACTGGAGCCAAGGGCCCAGCTCCTGGAGGCGACACATGGGTTTGGCTCACAAGTTACTCTAGAGTACCAGTAAGTTGCCGATTTTTAGAGTTTAATCTTAGCTCGTTTACAAAATAAATGAGACCGCGCTCTCAGTAACATCACTCATAATTATAACAAATACTGGATCATATGATACTTTCTTAGATATACGCAAATATTTGTCATTTTAAATAGAATTATTTTTTCGGACTTTTTTGCGGATTTATTTTGATTTTTGTTCCCAACATTTCGTATACATACTTTACACCAATCATGGTGACGGAAAGAGACTAAGGTCTGTAACAAGTATATATGATCTTTGAGATGTATAAAACTCTCAATCCGAAAAGATAGTTTTATTTAAAATACTGGATCAGATACGAATCAAACCCGTAATTTTAGTACACAGTGCTATGTTAGTTTTATTTTTAGGTTTTACGACTACTTTAGATATTCTTTAGAATTATTTTAGATTTTCCTCTTGCTTGTCATATGTTATGTTTTAGTCTTCTTTAACATAGCTAGCATTGCAAAAATAAACATCTGTATTACGGAAAGTCGACCTTATGATATTACCATTCTTACTAGTATAGTATGATATGATCTGTGCCATTATGAATTACTATCTGCTATACCAAAAGATAACACTGAATATATTGTATGTAAAAATACGTATAATTTTAACGTATTTAAATGGTTTTATGATAAAACTGACTTGAGTTCAAATAATACTTCAAGGAAAACTGTAAATCTAAGAGCAATCGCTTTTGTAAGCCATAATTGGCATTTAGCCAGAAATAGAACCACATTTAACCAATACACTTTTCTAAGAAGTAATTTTCTTTTTTATGAAATAATTGCGATCGAATGTGACGAAGTAGAGAGTAATTTTTTCTCTCTTCTCTTTAGAAAATAGCAATAGAACAATTAATAAAAATATTTTTATACAAAACGTACCTCAATGAAAGCAATATACTAAAAAATATAGTTAAAACATATATGTAAGTCTCAAAGGCATCTCTCATCTCAATCGTCTTGTTTACGTTTTCAGATTTAGTATAGTTTTCTTAGAGATGAAATATTTTCTTGCAATATAAAGTATCCTATATGTTGACACGGATAACCAGCTATCACCGTACAAAATTTCATCAAAATCTGTCCGGTGATTTTCTCGTGATGCGCTCACAGACGGACAAAAATCCTTAAAACTATAGGTTCGGCCTTTATATCAATAATAAAGACTATTTCAATAAGGTTTTCCAAAAAATATTTAGTGTACAGATTCGACTCAGTTAGAATTTTATATGTATAAACTAACTACCAATTACGAACTATCAATGATGTATCTTGCTATTACACACAGATATATACATTGCTCGTAAGAAATATACATATTACTTATGTTCTTTTTATTCCATCGTTTATAGTATAAAGTCGTGCAAGGATTTTGTAAAGCTACTCAAGACTACTGTCCGCCTGGAGTTCAAGGGCCAAAGGGACCTACAGGGTCACCTGGCCCCAAAGGTGAAAGGGGAGACCCGGGTGCACCAGGAACAGCAGGAAATCCGGGATTAAGAGGGCCCCTTGGGCCACCCGGGCCTAAGGGTAAATACATAATTATAGCATAGTTTCTGAAAAAAGTAAATTAAGGCGTCTTTTGCATGGTATGAGGCATAATTTCTGTACATTTAAACACGAGCAAAATTATTTTTAATGAAATGTCTTATTTTTTGTCAGGTGAACGTGGATTCCCAGGTAATCCTGGTCTAGACGGTAGAGATGGTGTACCAGGTGAACCAGGTCTAGATGGTCTATCAGGAAGAAATGGAGCTGATGGAGCACCAGGAAAAGATGGACGCGATGGAATACCTGGGAAGGATGGAAGTCCTGGCAAAAATGGAAAGGATGGCAAAGATGGTAAGTTTTTATACAATTTTCAATTTTAAGGGCGTTTAATTTATAATAAATTTTATTAATTAAATATTCCATATACCTACCAAAATAAATATTTACAATCAAGTAATCATTATTATTTTTAACCAAAGTGATGAGAAAGGGTAAAGAAGTTTTAATACTCCGATTTTAACAATTATTTTTCATTGAACATTGTCGGCCGCAATTATTGAAATACTTGCGCTAAAACTACAAAAAATCTCTAAAAAGGTAGTTTCATAGAAATTTTCATCTCCTATTTTACCCCCTCATAGGATGAATTTCGAAAAATTCTAAAGCACGTATTTATTTAATTTTATTGAAGAGCATTAATACCAAGTTTCAAGTAATTCTGATCATAAATATTTGAATTGTATGTGTTTTCTCGTGGGAATTAGATAATCTCCCTCGGTAAAAACTTGCCTGTCACTCTCCAGCCCTCCAACTATCTCCACACAAAAAATCACGCCATACGTCACTCCATTTCGACGTGAAAGACGGACAAGCAAACAAACAAACAAACAAAAAAACATACAAACAAACAAACAAACAAACACACTTTCACATTTATAATATTAGTATGGACTACAAACAACAACACCAATCAAGATAGAGGTAGCATTGCTTCTGCCCTAATATTTTACGGAAGAAATAGTTGCGTGCTTGGCACCGATTTAAAATTAGGTGGTAAAGTTCAGTTATCAAATGTGCTTAACTAAGTTTAACTGTCTTCCTACACGGTAGATACTTAATTAATATTTTAATAAAATAAATTTAATTCTTTGTTAATTGTTTTGCCAAGATGTTATAATTGTAGGCAATATTCTTATTCCGTTCTATTGTAACAAACTGCAAACATACAAAAATACAAACTTTTACATTTATGATAATAGTTGATTTTACATTTTATAATATTAGTATCCATTGACAGGTAAGCCTGGTGCTCAAGGTCCTGCAGGAGTGAGGGGACCAAAAGGAGAACGTGGTCCAATGGGACCGAAAGGGTTACGCGGTAATGATGGTCGGGATGGAGCACCTGGAAAACCTGGACTATCGATATACAACTACACTAAGGAGAATCAACTGTTTATTCCACCCAGTTTTGCTTGTAAGCTACTAGTATGATCTTCATTATATTGCACATTGCATGCCTCAAAACAAACAGAAAAACATTTTAAGGCCATGAACAACGCGTCCAATTTTTTAGCTGTTATCTATACAAATAAATAAAATAGAAGTGTCTGTTTGTAATGTCAAAACATCAGCTTTTTCTTTAAAACATATGAATATGTATATGTACTTATAAGAAAAAAACAATTTTTAATTTTTTGTCTGTCTGTCTGTCCCTACTAATACCCGAAACGACTGAAGTGATTTTGACGGGATTTCATCTAGCAGATAGCTAATGTTATAAGGAGTAACTTAGACTACACTTTTATTTTAGAAAAAGAATTAGGGTTCCGCGCAAAAAATAAAACCCGTGAATTGTGAATAAAATCCGTGTACCTAGGAACGCACCCGAGCGAAGCGAGTGTAAGTCTCTAGTTTCCTATACATGTATATTTACATATGCTGTCAAGAAATTTAAATACATATCTTATTATTTAAATACCTCATAAAATTATTTTATGATATAGGTATATATTAAAATTAATATATATATATATATATATATATATAATATATATATATATATATATATATATATCGTAAAATTTATCAGTTATTTAGTATAGCTTTGAATTTCCAGTGGATAACCCAAGACTAATAGTACGTGAAGGCGATACGATGCGCATGGATTGCAATCCGAAGGGATTTCCTGAGCCTACTATAGAGTGGCGTAGATCTGACGGAACACCAATTATACAGGTAATCCTCTACGCCGCTACGGACGTAGACAATTATATTAGTCAATCGTTTACGAAAAGCAAAAAAATATATCAGAAAAACATATCTAAGTGGTAAGTAAACCTTATGCCAAAATTAGCCATAACATATCGCCTGAGTTAATTAATAAAAATGTATTTAAAATCGAAATTACTAACATTTTAAATAAAACTATCTTTTCGGATTTTTTCGCGAATTTATTTTGATTTTTGGTTCCCGACGTTTCGAATGCTTTACAGCAATCATGGTTTTTTTACAATATTTTCCTTCACCGTGATCAAATTGAAATTTTTTCGCACATTCAAAAGTGCCAAAACCGAGATTTGAACCCGCTTCACTTTATTAAACGAGCGCAATACCACTGGGCTATGACAGCTTCAAAAAAATCATAATAACAACTCTAAAATTAAAACCCATTTTTAATTTAACAGGGGTCCTGGCGTGATGCTTCTGTGAGCGGGCACGTATTGAGTATACCCAACGTGTCCCGCTGGCACACAGGGAAATACGTGTGCTTGGCGAACAATGGTATGCAGCCGCCGGCGAACCAGACAACCGACGTTGAAGTGCATTGTTAGTATCGAGCGATAAGTACTATAGAAACTCTAAGTATTCACTTGGTTTTGCCTGCGTTATATTCTAAGCCAAATTCTTTATATATGTTTATACGGTTATGTCTTACTTAGTTCATACTAAAATTATAAATGTGAATGTAACTCTGTCTGTCTGTTTGTTACTTTTCTAAGACCGCTGAAATGATTTAAGGAGCCAGCGCTTACCATACGATTGGAGCTGCGGGGAGAAACTAGTAACTACTATGAATGAATAATGAATTTAAATAATTATATTAAATCACTACATAGTATAAAACAAAGTCGCTTTCTCTGTCCCTAAATCCCTATGTATGCTTAAATCTTTAAAACTACGCAACGGATTTTGATGCGGTTTTTTTAATAGATAGAGTGATTCAAGAGGAAGGTTTTAGTATATAATTTGTTAAGTTTTTGTATATATTGGTTAAAATATAACGATATTTGTTGGACGTGTCGGAAAAAATAAGACGTCTGGGAGCTTTCGACGAAAACGCTGCCTAAACCCTTTGAGATATAACAAAATAATGTATAGTGGAATTGTGTACCTTATATAGGTCTACAGAAAAGTCCGCGATGGCATATGTCTATCTGTTAAGGATAACATACTATATCCATTTTAATTTAAAACGTACCTAGGGACGAATCCGAGCGAAGCGAGGGTGAGTCGCTAGTGTTAATATATTTAAATGTATATTTGTTAGTTTGTTCAATTGTAGTTCTTCTATTATTTTACTGCTAAACACCAACAGTGCTCTATTGTTGCTTGGAAAAAAAATACAGTGTAGAAACTAGAAATACGAGTATATACTCATGCTATAGGACAAGAAGTGAAATAGAATGCCCGTCATATACTCGTAAAAGTTACAAGGCTAACTAAGAGTATTGCAAAATCAAATAGGTACCCTTTAATTCTGAACGAAATATTTGATTTATGAATTGCATTATTATTATTATTTTTTAATCTGTATAAATATTATAAATGTGAAAGTTTGTGAGTATGTATGGATGTTTGTTACTCTTTCACGTCAGAACGGTTGAACGGATCGGGATGAAAATCGACACAGAGATAGATTATAGTCTGGAATAATACATAGGCTACTTTTTATCCCAGAAAATATGTGATTCCCGAGAGATAGACTTGTTATAACTAATATGATACTACTCTTTACAGTCAGTCCGTATATACGCGTCCCGAACAATATAGCGTATGTGTTTAACAAAACAGCTAAAATTTTATGCGAGGTAAGTTAAGATGCTAGAATTTTATTAATTTATTATAAACTAATATTAAGTGGTCATTGTGTGTCATTGTGTGTCATTGTTGTGTGTTGAGTAGTTTAGTGGTCATCAAAGACACCACTCACTAAGCACTGTGACAGTGTATATATTTATTAAAGTTTAAAAATTAAGTTATCGTAACTCTTTAACCGGTTCTTAAATCGGTTCACAACAGTATAAACCAAATAAATGAAGATTTTGATTTGGACACATAAAAACACAATTGTAAAATTTAAGAAATGTGATGACAAACATGTAAATATAATTATTGTATGTATATATGGATTCCATGTGCCAATCTATACACATAATAAAATTCTGAGTCGAATCTGTACATTAAATATTTTTTGGGAAATCTTATTGAAATAGACATTATTATCGATACAGAGACCGAATCTATAGTTTTTAGATTTTTTGTCTGTCTGTCTGTCTGAGAAAACCACTGGACAGATTTTGACGAAATTTGGTATGATGATAGCTGGCTATCCGGGTCAACATACATGATACTTTTTACTGCGGGAAAATATCTCATCTCTGAGAAATCTATACTTAACGTTAAAACTTAACTAGGGACGAACCCGAGCGGAGCGAGGGTGAGTTGCTAGTATGATATACATATTATAATATTACTTTTTTGTTTCTTGGACAGATCCAAGCCTGGCCAGAGCCTGTATTAGCCTGGGAATGTGACGGAGTAACCCTTGAAGGCTCTCGGTACAAGACAGAGGTATCTACAGCAGGAGAGCCGTGGAGTTGGATTATGAGACTGGAAATACCAAACGTCCGAGAGCATGACCTCAAACAGTACAGTTGTGTAGCCAAAAATGAACTTAATAATCAAACAGTTAAGGGACATATTAAGTTGATGTGTAAGTTTTAAAGACTTCTTACTTCGTTTTCCATTTTTTGCTGACAGAAGAAACAACATGATGACAATGCTTTGAATTTTTGTGTAGAAAAGTCTTGCTGGTTTTAACCGGGAATTTCCTGCTTATCACAAAATATCAGTAACAATACTATAATTGCATTTACTACAGTTTGTTTTTTATGTTAATGAACTAATCTAAATATTTTATAGGATAATTTTATAGTGTTACTAAATTAAGGGTTAATAGTACTGAACAGTAGATTTAGGAATATTGAACTTAGAAGGCTATATGATAGACATTATTATTATCTGTTAACTGACTTCAGATCCAAGTCCTAACCAGCCAACTCAAGTACAACAGCCCATGGAGTTCGGCTCCCGCCCCCCAATCCTCACGTCATACGAAGAGCTGTGTCAGGTGCAGCGGTGCCCTTCGTGCCCACGATGTGATCGCGCCCTGCTGTTGATATCCACTATGAATTCAACATCTGGATATAAGCTTATAAGGAATACTAGTAAGTAGATATTCTATTAATAGTGGTTCCTTAAAACAAATTATTATTAAAAACCGGTCAAGTGTGAATTGGGCTCGTTCACTAAGGGTTCCGTACCATTCCGTACCACTATGTACTTTTTTTTAAATTTACATGGCGGCCATTTTTGATTTCGCCATTCTGGTTTTTTATTGTTTGTTGTTATAGCGGCAATGAAAATGCGTACCTACTCTGTAAAAATTTCAACTCTCTATCTATTACGGTTCATGAGATATAGCCCCCTTACAGACATATGAACGGACAGCAGAAGCTTAGTAATAGAGTCCCCTTGGCAGCCTTCGCGTACGGAAGACTAAAAATGAACACATTCTCGTATTTGTATTGATAAAAAATGGGAATACAAGTATTACAATTATAACTCTAGGTCTAATGGATAGCTGTTATGAATGCTATTCTAAGCAACTTTTCACCATTTGTTTAATAATTTAGAAATGGCTTAGAGCATTTTTAAGCTAAACTCCTTTGAATTTCAAAGTGAGGCCCGAAAGTTATAGAAATTTTATACAACCCTCTTTTGATGCTTCCTACTTTCCACATAAATTTGGTACATACTGAATAATTTCGTTTGTATTCTAAAAAGAAAACATTTTCTATACATATGAGTCTACAGTATCTTTCTTAAATAAATAAATATAACTACCTGTAACAAGTATATAATGACCTTTGAGACGTCTAAAATCTTAGTCTCTCCCTTGAACATGATTGCTGTAAAGAATTCGAAATGAAACATGCAGTGGTAGCCCAGTGGTAACGCGCTCGCTTGGGAAACCGAATGAAGCGGGTTCAAATCCCGAGTCTCGCACCTCTGATATTTTCATGTGCGAATTATATCTAACATGATTACCACTTGCCTTACGGTGAAGGAAAAACATCGTGAGGAAACCTGCATGTCTGAGAGAACCTAGCAAGTTTTCGAAAGACATGTGAAGTCCTCCAACGCACTTGGCCAGCGTGGTGGACTATGGCCTGATGCCCCTCGTATTGAAGGGAGGCCCGTGCCCAGCAGTGGGACGTTAAAAAGGGCTGAATACATACATACGATTCGAAATGATACGAACCAAAAATCAAAATTAATCTTCAGATTAAAATAAAATTCGTGATTGAAATAACCTATACCCGTAATCTACTGTATGTTGACATAATTATCATGCGATCAATTCCACGGGAAAAAACTACTTCAAAATATACATATACTTATAATGAATTTTAAATATAAAATATTATATTTCTTTTAGAATGCCAACTGTATGCTATCGGGAAACCTGTCTATCACCGGTACAAAGATGAATTATTTGGTGCTTGGTTGAGAGATTCTAACGCTTCTGAAAGTCAGGTACATTTTTCATAGTAATCTAAGATCCTCGTATAAATGGGTAAATGTAGCAAACAAAAATACAGTACGATATATTATAAACATCTAAATATATGTACACAACTAAAATATAGTAGGAAAGAAATAAATATATAAATATGTATAAATATGTTGTGACAAACAATCGTGTTCACCACACAAATGAATACACCTAGCGGGACTCGAACCCGCGACCGTTGGCACAGCAAGTAGGGTCACTACAAACTTAGCCAAAGGTGTCGTCAATTAAATTAATTAATATCTTTTCAATTTAAGCGTTTCATATTGCAGAAAAAAATAAAAGAAAAATATCAATCAATATTCCCGCAGATCTTTTGGTAGTCATTCTTATGTCTGAAATATTTTCTTTTCGAAATTATGGCCCATTAATTTTTAGCAAATGATACTAAATATTTTTTTTGACTTAACCATCTTGTGAAATACAATACGATCTATACTGACTAAAAACGATAAATCTATAAATATAATAAAATTCTGAGTCGAATCTGTACATTAAAATATATTCTTTGGAAAATCTTATTGAAATAGTTGATACATTTAGAGGTCAAATCTATAGTTTTTAGATTTTTTGTCTGTCTGTGACCGCATCACGAGAAAACTACAGGACAAATTTTAATGAAATTTGGTATGCGTATAGCTGCTTATCCGGGTCAACATATAAGATACTTTTTACTGCGGGAAAATATCTCATCTCTGAAAAATCTACACCAAACGTAAAAGTTAGCTAGGGACGAACCCTAGCGGAGCGTGGGTGAGTCGCTAGTAAATTATAAATACCAAATAAAGCACCTCGGTAAATTAATTTCAGAAAGACAAGCTGTGGACGACACAAGAAAATGATGTAGAAAGACTGCGAGAATATAGAAGCAAGGCGAGCTTCAAGTCTGACCACGTGGATGAGTTTCATAAGTTGCAGAAACCCTTTTTTGTGAGTGTTCAAACTTTTTGAAATTGTATGTATATGTATAATATGTATGTATGTATATAGTTCTGGTATTTATTTATTCCCTCAATATTATGTCGTGTTTATAATAAATATTTGTATTTATGTATTTATGCTTATACATATATATTATATATGGAATAGTGTGTATATATATATTTACATGTTTATATATTGTATTTATTTTGTTTTATTTATACTTATTCTCATATATTTTCTAATCGTTTCTTTGTACTTTCTCTCTCTGTCCCGCTATTTAACACTATTTCCCACATGCATGGGTTAACTGGAAGAGATCTCTTATAGAGATAAGTCCACCTTTGTCCACGTCATTTTCTATGTATTTTCTGTTTAATTTTTTTAATGAAATATAGAATATAATTAAAATTTACTAACTAAAGCGACATTTCATGCACTTACTTATATTTTTATTCAAACCAAGATAAATTTTGTTCCAATTTTAAGTCAATATCGCTATAGATACATTTTACTAAAAAGAGTACACCGAGTTCAAAATCTAAAATATGTTTTTTTTCTTTTTTTTTTTTAAAAGGATAAAGCTACCCTTGAGGATTTACTCCAAAATAATATTATATTTAACTAGCAGAACTGGCGGCTTTGCTCGCGCTAAAACTATAAAGAAATATCTAAAAGGATAGTTTCATACAAGCTTTCATCCCCTATTTTACCCCGTTATAGAATGAATTTCGAAAAATACTAAAACACTAATTTATTTAATTTTATTGAAGAGCATTAATGCCAAGTTTCAACTTTCAAGTAATTATGATCATACATATTTTTTTATTGTATTATAACGTGTTTTCCCGTGGGAATTAGATAATTTTCCGCGGTAAAAAGTAGCCCATGTCACTCTCCAGCCCTCCAACTATCTCCACACAAAAAATCACGTCAACCCGTCGATCCAGTTTGACGTGAAAGATGGACAAAAAAACAAACAAACACACTTTCACATTTATAATATTAGTATGGACTTCATTTTTACAGGGAAATGGCCACATAGTGTACAGCGGATCATTCTTTTACCAAGCCAATGAATCTGGACATCCGGGAGATATCATACGTTACGATTTAACGCAGAGTCGAATTAAATCAGCACATTTACCTCACGCTGATGGAAGACTTTATACCGCTCAGCATAATCAGGTATGGAAATTTTATGTATAGGTACAGCATTTTTAAATAAAACTAAGTGTATTAATGTATGAGATGCAGCTTAGAAGATAAGAACAACCTTCATATTTATGCTGTTTTCTACAACTTCGTAAAAGAAGTTATCAAACAATTTTTTTTTTCAAGATTCAAAGAGCATTTAGATAAAACTATCTTTTCCATAATTACCAAAAGAACCAAAAATCAAAATAAATCCGCGAAATAATCCGAAAAGATAGTTTTATTTAAAATGTCCTATAATTGCGTAAACCTAAGAAAGTATTATGCAAAGAGCAATCACAAACTCAATTTTACAGGTTGATTTTAGTGCTGACGATAACGGGCTATGGGTAATTTATTCTATAGAAAGATCAAACAACACTGCAGTTGCCAAGGTATATGTTACACCTTTAATATGTATTTTTACTTGTGAATTTAATAAGAAACGGTCCAATCCTTGTTTTGTAAAACTTAACATATTAAATTTGCATTTTTTGTATTGTAATTTGTAATACATGTGTTTGGTACAGGGTTAATTCGACGTATTCCCGTTAGGAGGTGATAGGGGTAGGCTTGCGATAATTTTAACCCCTCCCCCCATATGCATTATGCAAAAGTGAACCATTTTGGAGTTATCATGTTTTTTTAAATCAAAAATGCTACATCAAAAATTTATTTAAAAAAAAGTATCAATTTAAATCTAATTTTTTCTTCTGATTTATAAAAACGATTAAACGCTGGTTATTTATCAATATTAAAACAACAATTATCGGTTCTTTAAAATGCGAGACGAAAAACGATATTATTTCTATATATTTTTTTGAGTTTTTTTCCCACTAAAATGCCTTAAAAACAAAAAAAAACGTTATGAAACTTGGCTTGCAATAATTTAAAAACACAACCGTTTTCTTAGCTATCCAACAATGCATAACAATTATAGTCCGATCGGAATCCGGTTTGGGAACAAAATATTGAAAACCTGAAGTATTATGATTTTAAAATGTTAGCAGGTATATAAGGAATAGAAATTCGTAAAATTCTCCACATGCCCAGCTACCGCCGAGAAATGGGGGGACGCAATGCGTTGAAAAATAGTTTTTTTTTCAATTTCCGGTTTACTGTGACGTTCTATCGAAAAAAAATATCACGAAATATATATTTCGTGTATCTCAGAAACGGCTCTAACGATTTGGATCAAATCTTGTATTTAGAAAATGTTTTGTTTTTTAGTTTTTCTACATACATTAGTGCCTTTTCGGAAAAAACGCTTTACGTACTTCCTGTATTGTTTGGATGACTTGAAATCTTATCTATATTTTTTTTCTTTGCAGCTAAGCTTTGATCCAAACAAAGATGACTTAAATATAGATTACATTTGGAACATATCACTTAATCATAAATCAGTAAGTACGCTTTTATTTATATTCAATACTAGCGACTCACCCTCACTCCGCTCCATTTCGTCCCTAGTTACTTAAAAAATGAGGAATGGAAGTAGGAGGGTAAAAATACTTTACGATCTATTCTCATACCTACCAAATATACAAAAGAAACATTAAAATCGATCGAGCCGTTTCGGAGGAGTGCGACAACACAATGAGACAATCTCCAGCCCTCCAACTATCTCCACACAACAAATCACGCCAATCCGTCACTCTGCTTCGACGTGAAACAAGGACAAACAAACAAACACACTTTCACATTTATAATATTAAGTATAGCTAAAGGCTGTATTTTAATTTGCTATTCTTTTCAGGTAGGCGAAATGTTTATGGTTTGTGGAGTTCTTTACGCATTGGATTCGGCGACAGAAAGAGAAACCAAAGTGACAGTGGCCATAGATTTATATTTAAGTAAACCGGTGGAGGTGTCGTTACAGTTCACCAATCCATTCAGAAAAACCACTCAACTTGGATATGATCATACTCATAAGGTACATATAGTTTAATACTTTATTTTTCATGCCCTTATCCTTAGTCATATATAAGGTATTATAAAACTAATAAGTTTGTTTTTTTGTTGTTTATTTTACCGCGCATATCTCTAGAACTGCCAGCCTAATTTGAAAAATTCGTTTTGTACATAGCCTAAATACAAATAGAAGGCTTTACATCACGCTACACGCTATATATACGCTATATTATTATATATTAATGCTAAAAAAAGTCTTTCTCTTGAGATTTTTCTATGTTAATTATGATCTATACTTATATTATAAAAAGGTAAAGTGTGTAAGTTTATGAATTGTGAGTTTGCGACGTTGTAGGGGGTAATCTCTGAATCTACTGAACCGATTTAAATGAAATTTGGTAAGAACATAGCTTAAGACCCTGAAAAAAGTTTTATACGAAATATCTATCTGTACATTAAATTTCAGAAGTCATCTAACCTAGTAATTTATGTCATTACATACTCTAAATATTTAAAATAAGTTATAAGCCAGTAAAAAGCCAACTTTATAGTGTCCTCTGGCTCTGCTCTACATAGAGCTAGCCGAGTTTACAATACAGCGACATCTAGTGTTACACAAATAAAAGTTCTCAAAAGTAAAACCCGCGTTTTCAATTTTAAAACTAGATGTCGCTTTATATCTTTAACCACACTAATTTATTAAACTATCCCTTAAAAAACTTAAAAGTACACTCAAATAATATTTAATTATATCTCTGTGATTTTAAAATAATATTATAAAATAACTAACTTTAAGTTTTTCGCTCATCTGTCGGTTTTTTTAATGATAATTTTACTATAATTTTGCGGGTTAAACGGCAGGAATATATGAGAATTTTATTTTTAGTTAAATCCGTTTATTTTAATAGATATTATAAATGCGAAACATATATTTGTTGTTTTGTCTCACTTTCACTTATAACTTCTTTTATTATTTCAGGAGCTTTATTCGTGGGATCGCGGGAATCAGTTAACATATCCTGTGAGATACAATGAATTTCCTGGACCTTGATACTTATATATTATAAATTAAAAAAATACAACTTACTACAACAACTATTTTATTAAACTTAATCGAATAAGTTCTGATATTTTTATATAATTTATTGGAACAATATTTTTATAAAATATTTCATTAATTAATAAAAATATAATTATTTGTGTATGTCTTTTATTTCAAGATTTGTGATTAATGCTCCATTTTTTTATCTATAAATATTTTTTATAGTGCTTCAATAAAATTCGTAGAAGGCAACAGCGACATCTATCAACCTAAGCAGACATTTAAAAAGAAAACTTATAATTTTTAAGTCTCTTGAATACTAGTATTGAAAATTATAATTTTTAGTTATTTTATAAATAATTCATTTATTAAACTTAATAACTAACACACTTACTCTTACTATTAATATTATAGTAGGTATGTGAAAGAAAACATAGACTACTGGATTAATGAAACATGACATCTAAGAAGTCTTATTAAAGAGGAACGAACTTATAATATTTAATTAACCATTAAAATTTTAATAACTTATTACACGTCACCAAATTACTATTTGAAACTCAATGCAGTTTTTTTTAAACGGAATTTTATGCTGTTATCAGAGAATTCTAACTGGCATTATACGCATAAATTTTGTATTTTACAATTGTAGTATATTTTTTAACTAAAAGTTTTGCTACAACAAGTATTTTCAATGAGAACAAATCAAAAAATGTAATGAAACATAGAAAGCAAAAATATTTCAAGCCGCATACAAGATGGCGCTAGTAGAGTTCGTAAAACTAATTACTCCAGACAATTATCCAATTAATTAATTATAATGAAGCATCTTATAGGCACATTACATTTTCAATTAAAAGCTAAGTACATAATAACATACATACATATACAAAATTCAAAGTAGAATATGTTAAAACCGATATCATTTGTTAATATTAAATAAGGAAAACTCTATATATGTTGTATATTTGAGGAAATTGAATTTCTAAACAAAATATCTTTACGCTGTATATGATACTACTACTTATATGAACTAAATAAATAAACTCGTAAATTTTTTAACATAATTTTATAGCTTTTATATGTAAAATATATAAAGTAGAAAATCTCCATAGAGACACGTGCCAAAATTGATAGACTAATTAACTTAACACCTTCTAAAGTAAAACTGACAAGGATCAGAGTAAAATTTCAGTCCCCTGTAATTTTTTGCTACAATAGGCAATACATTTCGTGACTTGGCAAAACTTGGTACGATCAATAGAAGCGCGCCGCGCCATCTAGCTGCCGTCGCGCAGCCAAATTGCACTTTAATAGTTCATTAGATCTAACAAAAATGGGGTTTAAATTCGGTTATCGATTCGCGGTTGGCGATTGGAAAAATGCTTTGGAAATTTTACAGCCGGTACAATGTTAGCCTGAGTGTGTTATATAATGAATGTTAAGTGTTTTAATATAGATAAGTAAGTAGGGCTAGGTATGTTATGCGATTGATGATTATGATTGATTGTGTGTCGATCTATGCGCTTGTAGGTCACAAATAGATGAATTTCAGTATTTTTATTTTTTATTTTTAAGCTATTTTACTTGAGGTTTTAGCTATATTTCATTATATTCCGCTAAGTTATGAAAAAAAATTGAAATTCCTATCCGCGATACATTCAAGGGTCTGTAATAATTTAGTTTTTAGTTAGTTTGTACTTTTCAAGTGATTATTTTATATGTTTTGATATATTTTTGACTCTATGTAAGTGGTTTTTGTAGTCGTCTTAGACCATACACATCTGTGGCCCTTGCATATTTCTTTTTTAAAACGCACATAGACAAAGAAAGTGACAATTCTATTAACATACTAGCAGAACCCGCGGCTACGCCCGCGTTCAATCTACAAAAAACTCTTTGGCTTTATGTTATACAGCGACTCACCCTCACTTCGCTCGGGTTCGCTATGTATATAGGTAATATTGTTCATACAAAGATACTAAAATCGCAATTAAAAAATGGGGGATGAGGGTAGGAGGGTGAAAAATATTTTACGACCTATACTCATACCTACCAAATATACAAAAAAAAATCATTCAAATCGGGGCGTTACGGAGGAATGCGACCTCAAACACTATTGCACAAGATATTTAATTATTTTACATTACGTCTAGGTAGTATGCAAAATAGGGTGTTTTCGACAACGTATGAGTATAATTACTTCAAAATAACTCACCTACCTAAAAAACAAATGAATATGGCGACGGTACAACCCAGTAAGATACAAATATAACTGACTCGAGCAAAATATCGCTTTTAATGACGACTATAAGGCTCTAAATAAGGGGATCGTCAAAAAGCAATCGCATTGAAATCAGTCCATTCTTTCTATTAATGCGCGCGCAAACATGTCATAAACAACGAAATAGATTTTTTCATGAAATATTTAACACGGGTATAATAACCTATCAACTTTTTTATCTAGCATAGATGTGTCAGTCGTTTAAACACAAATCTATACATATAATAAAATCGTTATATATATATATATATAAAATTAAATATTTTTTGGAAAATTTTATTGAAATAGTAATTACTATCGATACCGAATGTATAGTTTTCAGAAATTTTGTCTGTCTGTTTGTTCCGGCCAATCTCAAAATGGCTGGACCGATTTTGACGAGACTGTCACTGGCAGATAATTGATGTTATAAGGAGTAACTTACTACTTTTATTTTAGAAAAAGAATCAGGGTTCCGCGCAATAAATTTATAACCCATGAAATTGTGAATAAAATCGTACCCAAGGACGAACCCGAGCGAAGCGAATATAAGTCGCTAGTAATCATAAATATTATTTACGAAGGAAGTTTTGACGTAATTGAATTAAAATTATTTAAATTGTATACTACACTTTAACCAACAACAATGAAATAAAATATGAGAAATATATACCTCAGTCACACCGTTAGGTTATGAATAATAATAATCGGGCATGCGTGTGTGCTCTCTTTATCACATTTCTTAGAGTCATTGGTTTCATTTCAAAACAATACGCGTACGTTTGCACTCAACTTTGTATTACATTGAAGTAATATGAATTGAAGACAACTAAGTCGATTTATATGTACATTTTTATATTTACCCGACTGCGGCAAAGCCCAAAAGAGGGTTATGTGTTTGACCTGTATGTATGTCTGTATCCGACCTTATGGTCCCTCGTAATTACTAAACGGATTAACCGATTTTGATAATTTATATGTAGTTAGATTCGTCGTGTTTACGCGAGTGTCATAGGCTATATACTCGTAGATGTCATTAAAATTAAAATTGCGTAATCTAGACGCCAATTTGTCTCTTGAAAAAAATTGTTTCGTCCGAATCAATTAAATGGGATACCAAAATACGGGTTTTTAAAAGGCGATTACAAAAATATATACAACTTATATGTTTAAAAATAATTTAACATTAGAAATTGTTTAGTAAAACTAAAAATATCTAACTGACCAAAACTAAAAAGCTGTAAATAAAAAAAAATTACAGAAATAAAAAAAACATGACTGCGTAAAAAGCAAACTAAGAAGATGAGAACAAGTTGACGAAGAAATATAATAGGTATTATGCAGTCGGGGACACAAGACAAAATTTCTTCCTCCAATTTGTATGAAGTCGTTATTCTTCTCCTGAGTAAAAGTGTTTTGTGCACAAGACTCGCAGCTATTATAAAACATGCACATGTTACCTACAATGTCTCCGACTAAAATACTTACTATTTCTTAGTGAACTTGTTATCATTTTTTTAGTTAGCTTTTTACGCAATCTGGTTTTTTATTTTTGTAAATTAATTTATTTAGAGATATTAACTTTCAAATTTTGCTAATATGATAGGTAAATATGAAAGTGTGTTTGTTGATATACGAGTATGTTTCTTTCACTCGACGATAACACAACTATATAATGTTCGAAATCGCATCAAAATTTGTTTAAAGATTAAGAGTGAGTATAATAGACACAGATAACTTGTACTTTGTAACTGTTTCGTGACTTCTCCAATTTTCTAATAATTTATCAAATAAGCGTCACGGTGAGATGTCTGTAATATTGAAATTGCTCTACCTATAAATTATTCTAATGCTTTTTTTAATATTTTAATCATTTTTACCTTTATGATTTTACCTACCAGTTATAGACATTATAATGTGTGATAAAGACTATCACAGTGAATTTTTGGTGTTTATCACAAAGCAAGAAATAAATATGTTACGAAACTTAATGACCGCTTCCATTAATTTTCGACTATTTTTATTTTGACTTAAAACGATGTACGATGTCATATGGATAGATGATATCTAACAAAATCTATCGCTAAAGTTAGAATAATTATTAGTTTAAAATAAAAACCGACTTCAAACAAAAGCACTAAAAAGTAAAAAATAACAGATTGGTAGTTTTCATTTACTATACATACCTAATCAAATATTTTCGAAGTCGGTGTGCTTTGCTTTGTATGGGCTGGCACCGATTTCGAAAACTTCGAAAATTTAATCGATTAGGTATGTATTTATTAAGTAGGCTTTAACTACTTAGCCAAAGCACACCGACTTCGAAAATATTTGATTAGGTATGTATAGTAAATGAAAACTACCAATCAGTTATTTTTTACTTTTTAGTGCCTTTGTTTGAAGTCGGTTTTTATTTTTTGTTAAAAAGTTTTTATTTTTCCCTTTTTAGTGTAGACAGTAGTAGCAAAGTAAGAATTCTAACGTGATAGGCTTGTCAAATCAAACAAAATAAGCCCAAACTCAAAGTATCTACTATTAGCCGTTGAAGAGTTCCACCTATCCACCTTCTGGCCTTACCATCAGATCAGGTCAACAATACCGAACCACTGTACTATCAACGGAAATAGAAACACTTGCAAAGTTTCAAGTCAATATGACAATTAGAAGTAGGTTAAATTCATCATTAGCTATTTTTCCACCCTTAGGGGTGGTATTTTTTTTTGAAATTTAAATGGGACCAATC